TCCAAGCTGGTAGCAATTGCCCGTCTAATCTTTCCTGTGATTTGAGTTCTTCTCCAGACAGTTTAAACTTGACCATACTGGTGTCCAGCTATACGAAGTCATATCCGCGACTGTTGCTGGTGCTGCGTGCCGTTCACCGATGGTGTTGCGTGACAGGACTGTCACGCAATGCGGCTGGTGCCGGAAACATTTCTAATATCCTGGTCACCCTGCTTCTTGTTCAGTGCATGCGCAAAGGGCTTATTGGAAATTTTAACGTAGAACACATCGTGACTAAGAGGCAACAGCTAGTACAAGGTGGCGTGACGGATGGCGCCCAGTACATGGAATGGGAAAAAATCGTTCACCGTCTTGAAAAAAGTTGTAGCGAAAACCCAACGGACACACCCCTCACCCAAGAGGAGCTGGACACAGCCCAACTTGGTACAGTCCTTATGACTTTCTTTCAAACGCACGACTCGTCTTTTGAAAAGGACCTCCCAGATACCCTTGCGCGCATCTTACAAGTGCGAAAACTTGCAGAGCTGCTTGACAAAGAGCATTTACTCTTGGTGAAAGAACACATGCAACGCGCCTATCAGCTGTTAGCATTGTATGGAGATGTGCAGATCATGCTGGCAATAAGCGGCTCTGAAGATTACAACGTAATTTTCCTTTCTCCTCTCCTTACAACCTATTTGGCAGGCGTCGAGAAAAGCAAGGCCCTGGGAATTGCGAGAAAGACTGGGGCGACGAGCATCGTCATTCGTCCCAGTGTTTCCCGATCTCGAGCTTCAGCCATCCTTGAAGTGAAAGGAAGTGAGCCCGCCATCCGAGCTGTGGAAAGAGAGCTGGAAAAAATGTCTACTGAGGCGTCAAGTGACAGGGTGTCGCTCATGAGTGGCTGTTTCGTGGAAGACGCCAGTCTGCTGTTGTTTGAAGGCAGTCGGAATCAAAATGATCGCGTGACGCTGACACCATATGACGGGCCGTGTCATCAGACACACGATCACCTAGCACGTCATCTTGCTTTGTTGGATCCGGAACAAGCTACCCTTAACGAATACGCGTTTCGTTGCTTCATTGAGAAGTTCTTTCAACAGCTGCGGGTACTGGAGAAAGATTTCGATTCTCAGCTGCATGGCTGTTACGAATTCGCCGTACACTTTGGTAGAGTGTACATGTTAAGCGTACCACATTCTTTGCTGGAAGACAGCGAGTCCATCACCATTGCCATGCTACGAGCCAATAAGCGGAAGTCGACCATCCCTCAAGAAAACCGCCGGGCTCCTAAAGAGCCAAAATTCGTGAACCAGGAGATAGAACGCGCCCGTCGAAGAAGACGGCGTCCGAAACCCGCTGTTAGTACGGATGAAAACCGAAAGAAGCGCGTACGAGCGAACCCTTCAAGAAGCTCGTTCTACACCGTTGTGCACTCGCCAGAGAGAGTGGAGGCATTTCTTGAGGAATTCCAATTTCATCCTGACCCAAATCCCGCGGAAAAATACCTGGTGGACATTTGTGATGGCGAAGTGGAATTTTACGTTCGATTTGACAGCAACCTTAATTTTGTCGAGATTAAGTTTCCAAATCTCCGCTGGTGTATGGTAGATGTCAAAAGACCTTGGCAACGGCGCCCAGACCATGACGCCATACAAGATGGCCGCGAGGCAGATGATGACGTCATGCTGGACGGTTGGGAGACGGATATACGCTTCTTGTTACAGACCCGGAATGCTTTGGGGCCGTGCGACATCCGGGATACAAAATACGCGAAGTACCAGCACATACTGGAGCCCAGTGATTCCGTGCGGTCTTTTAAAGTTCAGGAAGACCTGTGGAAACATGTCAGGCTTATTCGTGTTAGCAGGCTGAGGAAGTTCAAGCACGTTTCACCGCCAGGTGGCTTCTTGTCTGGATTGACAGTGTACCTTAATAAAGTTACTGAATATTCCAGGCCCGCAAAATCACAAGTGGATGATTTTGGGAAAGTGGTCACTCGATGGGAGGTGTCACTGGAAGCAACGCTTCCAACAGATGACGAGCAAGGAATTTCATTTAAGTTTCCAGCAAAAGAGACCATGAAAAGGTTTCTACATGAAGTCTGGAAATTCGCGTTCTCGCTGTCCTCGTTCGTCTCGGAGGACATGGTACATCAGGCATATTAGTTTTCAGACCTCCCCATCCGGCGAACTTATGACGATTTGTCACTATGACTTCACGGGAATGCACAATCACCCGTTTTTTGGATCTATCTTGCAATGCACGCTCGCCAAAGACAAGACACTCTGAGGGCAATCGAACTCACTAACATGCTGCGTTGCAATTTTTATAGATATTCAGGATGGATTTTTTCTAAGACATTTGCCGTTGTACACGAAATAGCGGTGTCAACTGACAAAACAACTTTTTGGAAACCAAGCGGTCAGAGTGTAGTTTTTCAGGCCAATTAATCGCTTGATATTTGGAAGGTACATTTTAGTAAATGACTGCCAATTTTAAATTTCTTTGTAAGCATAAATATTTAGACTACAAGTAGTCCCTCTTCCGCTTAGTCCGTCGAGCGAGACCGTAAATAAACCGCGAGGAAAAAATGGCTGCGTGAAAAGCGCGCTTCTCGCCGCCAGGATTTCGCGCGACCATTTTTTTTCTCTCGCGGTTTTCTTTCTTTTTTTCTTTTCTTTCGATAAAATCAGTTATGAAGGCATGATTGATCAACGCAGTTGTACACACAACTTAAGCAGCTGTGAAATTAAAGCCTGAAAAAATATATATATATTCAAGCCAACTGGAGCTGGTCACTTTGCACAAAGCTCCCAGTTGGCTTGATAGCTCAGTTGGTAGAGCACTGCACCGGTATCGCAGAGGTCGTAGGTTCGAATCCCGTTCAGGCCTGAATATTTTTTTTTTTTTCAGGCTTTAATTTCACAACTGCTTAACTTACGAGTATAACTGCGATGATCAATCATGTCGTCATATCTTTTTTTGCAGTTCAAATATATGATCTTTCCTATGTTTACTTGTAAAATCATATTTAGTTGTTAAAGCAAGATAATCGATAAAGATCCACAGTATCTATGAGTTAAACGACTGCTTAGATTCTGCACTTACACTGCTCACTGCTGCTGAAAATTCCTCTTGTAACGATTCTTCATCTTCCAAGACATCCAAAATCGCATCCAAATCATCTTCAAGTATCGTAAGTCCATCTATTTCATCCTCCATTTTATTTACAATGTGTGCAGGGTCAGCTTCACGTGACGTGCGGGCTCAACATCTCATAACCAGTCCCTTGCGCATGGAGTGAAGGATACCTTCGTTGCGTGTGCCGGATTGCACGGACGCATGGCGGAGCGCAGGGGAACGCACAGGGAACTGCTGGTTTGCACTGTCACGTCATCAAAAATAAAAATCGTCAAGAATCGGGGTCATGATAGATGATAAATAAACAACCTCGCCAAGATTTAGGTCTGTGCAGTTTTTTATTTACGCGTTATTCAGAGAAGTGTTTCCCCAAATTTATAGAGCTTTGTATGGAAACTTGGCACCAGAAATGTACATCACAAAAGAAGCATAATGACACACATCGTGCTGTTGCCATGACAACAGCTATGCTCCTGGTCTCGTTTTAATTAAGACTAAAATTCCCAGATTTTATCTTACGCAAGGATCATCCACACCCAACAAACTAATAGGGAGAGCTAAGACAATATGGGCACCATGTGGGTTTCGAGCAAGACCCTCTGTCCCACGTTAAAAGCATGCAAATGGAGATATTTGGTTTTTCACAGAAAGAGACTGGAGCCAATATTGTTGCCATGGTAACAACATAGTAGGTGTCATTCTGTTTCTTTTGTGATTTCTGGTGCCAAGTTTAAAGAATACTGTTCAACATTTCTAGAGATATTCTTGATTCAATGTTATACTGTTTTTAAAAGTGGAACTACTTATGACGTCATCACTTTCGTCATTTACATAATACAAAAAAGTAAATATCTCTAAAACAAAAAAAGATATGCCAAAAAAGAAAACGCTATTCTTCTTTACTTTGAGAAGCCTTTCAAATAAGCAGCAATTAGTTTTTTTTTTACTTCATAGGCACTTTAAGTGTTGTACAACGTCAAGTTATTACAGGGTCTTAAATTTGATGAAACTAAACTTCAGAAGGATTGGTAATGTTTTGTTTTAGAAAATGATGACGTCACTTGAAAACCGGCAATATAATTGCAATTTTAATCATTTTTTTTATTAGGCCTAGTCTTTAATTAATTATGTCCCGTATGCTTTTTACTGATTGGAACCTTATAATTATTAGTAGTATATATAGGTGTCCACAATGAGTTTACTGTTTACAGTAAGCTAGTATTTTTGACACGGTAGTAAAGTTATTCGCTCGTTCGTCCGTTCGTTTGTTCGCTCATCCGTTCGTTCGTACGTACGCTCGTTCGTCCGTTCGTGGTTCATTCGTTCGTAGATAGATAGATAGATAGATAGATAGATAGATAGATAGATAGATAGATAGATAGATAGATAGATAGANGAGTATCATAGTTTTTGTACAATAAGCCATTTTTGTATTCTCGTTATTGGAGTGTAACTAGCTTACAAGGGAGGCTCATGCGGGGAATATCATTACAAAGAGATTAAGGTGGCCGAACACAGTTTTCGCGCGCGCTTTTGCCAATGCAATTCAGCGGAGAGGAGGGGGCAGGAGAGGAGTTTGGCCATTTAATGGAAAACAAGAAATACATAATTTTTTTTTCTGTTAAGTACAGTTCTTATGGATTCAACATTTTTATTTAACAAATAAAGGACATTCAATAAGTGGCTTTTCGAGGTCATTCTAATAATAGTGCCCTTCTGATGTGAAAGCCTTATTTTCCTGAAGCTTAATGGCTGGTTTGCAGTGTCATGCCATCAAAAATAAAAATCATAACCATTCAATAGATTAAGTCAAGAAGCTGGGATATGAAAGATGATTGATATATAAACAACCTCGCCAAGATTTAGCTCTGAGCAGTTTTTCATTCTCCCGTTATTTGGAGAAGTGTTTCACACAAACTTATGGAGCTTTGTATGGAGTTGCCATGTTTGTGCCCCTCGGAGGGACACAAACATGGCGGCTGTTAAGTAACAGAAACATCTCTCATTGAGTTTTGCCATTGGAACAAAAAGTTATTACTCTAGAGCTCCGACACATTGAAATTAATACTTTTTCTAGAGCAACAACTGTTTAGTTATACATATCACTAGTGATATGTGTGCGGGGATACACATATCACGGGGATACACATATCACTGTGACACCGGATTGCACGGACGCATGGCAGAGCGCAGGGGAACGCACAGGGAACTGCTGGTTTGCACTGTCACGCCATCAAAAATAAAAATCGTCAAGAATCGGGGACATGATAGATGATAGATAAACAACCTCGCCAAGATTTATGTCTGTGCAGTTTTTCATTCGCGCGTTATTTAGAGAAGTGTTTCCCCAAAATTTATAGAGCTTTGTATGGAAACTTGGCACCAGAAATGTACATCACAAAAGAAACATGATGACACCCATCGTGCTGTCGCCATGACAACAGTTACGCTCCTGGTCTCGTTTTAATTAAGACTAAAATTCCCAGATTTTTCCTCATTTGCATAATACAAAAAAGTAAATATCTCTAAAACAAAAAAAGATATTCCAAAAAAGAAAACGCTATTCTTCTTTACTTTGAGAAGCCTTTCAAATAGGCAGCAATTATTTTTATTTTTTTTACTTCATAGGCATTTTAAGCGTTGTAAAACGTCAAGTTATTAGAGGATCTTAAATTTGATGAAACTAAACTTCAGAAGGATTAGTAATTTTTTGTTTTAGAAAATGATGACGTCACTTGAAAACCGGCAATATAATTGCAATGTTAATCATTTTTTATTAGCCTAGTCTTTTTTATGCCGTAATTAATTATGTCCCGTATGCTTTTACTGATTGGAACCTTATAATTATTAGTAGTATATATAGGTGTCCACAATGAGTTTACTGTTTACAGTAAGCTAGTATTTTTGACACGGTAATAAAGTTATTAGTTCGTTAGTTCGCTCGTTCGCACGAACGTACGTTCGTTCGTTCGTTCGTCGTTCGTTCATAGTGGATCATTAAACGCGGGACAAAACTATCGGCGAGTGCGGGATATGACTTGTAGCGGAACAGACGAGAGAGCGCACAGGGGAATGCACGCGGAAATACACAAGGGAACGCCCTTTAGAAGAAACGATTAAATGCACGAACACCAAAGCTTAGGTTGGGCCTTGGCTCTCTTACGCAGAGGTTTTAGCGTTCATTATAGAAGTCCTGNAAAGCTTGAAAAACTTTTATGTTGTTCGTGGTATAAAACTATGTTCCAAAGGACAGATCCCTTATATCTAAGTGAGTCATAGTGGATCATTAAACGCGGGCCAGAACTATCGGCGAGTGCGGGATATGACTTGTAGCGGAACAAACGAGAGAGCGCACAGGGAATTGCACGCGGAAATACGCGAGGGAACGCCCTTTAGAAAAAAACGATTAAATGCACAAGGAACACCAAAGCTTAGGTTGGGCCTTAGTTCTCTTACGCAGAGGTTTTAGTGTTCATTATAGAAGTCCTGTGCGTGGTGAGTGACGGCAAAAAAGTCTTATTATTTGCGCCTGCACTTACATTGTTCAGAGGATTCTCCCGACACAAAAAATCCTTTTAAGAGAAATCCTTCCGTTTAAAAATAAGTGTACAGTTAATAATTACAGTACAAACAAGTCAATCAAAGAAATAAAAGTTCACGTGTTTATTTATAAATTAAACATATCGAGATTCACAGTATATTATCTTGTTTTGATTTACTGTGATGAAAAGAGTATTAAGGTCTTTTCTCGTTACATTTTTCTTTTCATTCCATAGAAAACATCTCCTTGTGTTTGTCAGTCAATCAGCAAAATTGCTCGTTCTGCTATTTTCAGTTGAAAATACTTTTTCAGGTTTCTCTATGCTTCAACTCGAACCTTTAATTTATTTATATAATTATGTACATCTCAAATAAATTATTCAGCCGTTATACATTCAAAGTGTGGGGTGCCACGCAGCCCCCCTTGCTGAATATTTCTTCAGCAATTTTCTTCAGTTCTTCGTCTCCATTCTTTGTGGAACCTATGGATAAGAAGGAAAGAGGGACTTGATGTGCGTTCTTGTAACAAATGTAGGGTATGTTGGAACCTGTCCGCTCTTCTAAAAATCAAATTTTCCTTCGAAACACATTTTCGGTGAAAACGCTTTTAAGGTAGAGACTGCGCAAGTGTAGATGACCTGAGTCAAGGGTACCCTGTCTTTTCCCGCCAAAATGTGGATTGGACTGGGTCCGATGTTTTGAATATCATGGCACATTTTACGCAGAAACATGCGAGTGAAAAAGTAACATCAAAACTAGTGTGATCAAAACATCCGGCGATCTTCGGTAGTCTTCGGTACACTGTCGTAAATATTTACCAATCCCTAAAAAGTGTTGGAAAATCTTAACAGTCGTACATGTAAGGTGATCTTCGGAAAACTTCGAAAGCGTCCGAATTTGGAATCTGAAGCACATCGTATAATCCTTGGAGTAATATTACCCACGGCAAAGACTGCTGGTGAAAAATACCGTCTAAACTAATCTGAAATTCTCAGCGAGATAATCTTGTCAAGTTCTTACGGTATAAAATAAGTTGATTGATGATTCTAGTTATTATTATCACCTGCCTACTTGAAAAGGTATTAATATTGTAAGGAGAAAATAGATATCGATCACGCTTACCTGATTTGACTTCTTTAAAGAGCGCATTATTGGCATGGTACTTTTCTTTACATATTGTATCCACAAGCAGTGCCTGGAGAAGGAATGAACAAGATATGTAAGATTAGATTGTCAACAGGCCAATCATTCACAGAATGAAATGAAAAAGTGGAATTCTAAGGGTGTAAAACTCTGACCAAACGGGCTCGCGAGTAGACGCAAGTTGAAAACTTGGATCTACTTGCGACCCCGTTTGGCCCGGCCTTGCGTGCACCCGCGATGACTTGCGCTCACTTTGGTCCAGATCAAATTTGCACGCAAATGGACGAGCGTTTTTCACCGTTTGGCCACCCAACCCAAGTCAACGCAAGTTGAGTGACGTCCATTAACCTATTATCAGCCAATGAAATACAGGATGTGTCTGTCTCGAAATGGGTTTTTTGCGACTTGCGTGTACTTGCAAGGAAGATCGCGAGTCCGTTTGGCCACCCAACGAGAGTTTCCCCAAAAGATTGGCTTGGGGCTACTTGCGAGTCCGTTTGGCGGCCAGGGCTTATAGCTTAACTAAAATGATCCTTTCAAAAACATTGCTGGAACGCGCGCATTTACTAACACCCTGTAACAAACCTCTGATATTAAAAATACATCTTACATTTTATGTTATTACTTATATATTTAGTTAGGCAGTTGATGAGTCAGTCAGTTCGAGGCTAGAATGGTTGGAAGGCTCGACAGTCCGATGTTCTCAAGGTCGGATCGTCAGACAGTCACATAGACACAGACGGAGTACATTTGAGCGAGTCAGTCATCAGTCAGTGAGTGAGTGAGTGAGTGAAAGTGACTAAATGAGTCAGTCAATCAGTCGGTCAGTCAGTCAGTCAGTCAGTCAGTCAGTCAGTCAGACAGACAGTCAGTCAGTCGGTCAGTCGGTCAGTCGATCAATCCATCCATCAATCAATCAATCAATCGATCGATCGATCGATCGATCAATCAATCAGTCAATCAACTAGTTCGCCTGCCTGTCCATCAGTCAGTCAGTAATATGGCAAACCACAGAACTTGAATCAGGTGACGGTAACACACCTCGTGATGGGCGCTTGGTAATTCCTGGTTAATAGACCTTGTTGCTCTGGAGATCACAGCAGTCATGCCATACAAGTTGATGGAAACATCTGCCATTCTTTTCAACAGCAGCTGTTCCTCGATTATTTTCTACAAAGAAAATAAATGTACAAACAAACATTTGTCAAAAACTTTGGGCAATAACGGCTTATGACACCTGTCGTGCTTTTTCTTTCTTTTGTTTTCTTACTTTAGTTTTGCTTTAATTTACAACTGTAGTCAGAAAACTACTCCTCAACAAGAAATTACCTTTCCAAACTTTGACAGTAACTTTTCAGATATTCTTCCAAAGTCAGCAATATTCTCTTCCAACCTTTTAACACTTTCCTGCGAAATAATTTATGGTCCATGGTAAAATTGGCTAAAGATAACAGAAGCTTAAAAATAAAGATTTGCTCTAAAACATTTAGAAACGTTTCTAACAGCTGTGAATATAGATCACACAACGTTTTGAAAATTACAAATAGACTGTCCTGTCCCAGATTGTGGTATCTCTCTTTTTACCACTTGCCTGTTTTCCCATCCTTTGGATCTGTGACAATTGTTCTTTGCTTCAGTTCCTAATTGTTTCGTTGTTGTATTTACATTTGCCGTGACTCGCAATGAGTGATTAGTTTGTCTTGTTAGTATTGCCTAGAATTTATCAAATACTCACCGCCAGTTGCGGATGCGCGACACTTGCGATTCCTTGAAGGTTTTCTTTCAGCCCTAAGGCATAAAGAGCTCTCTTTGTAAGGAATTCAGTCATAAACTCAACATTACTAAAAGGGTTCTTGATATACCTGGGGTAAAAAAAGTAAATTTTGATGTTGATGAAAAGATGTGAATCAATGATTTCCACAGTAGCCTAGGTTCAATTCTCAATGTCTTTGATCAAAATATTCATTCTTCTTTAAGATCCTAATACCTTTGGATTTGTATTAGTTCTGAGAATTTAGCAGTTCATCAAGACAATAATTATCTCGTTATTCTCATTACTTGAAAATGCATTGAGATAGTGAGGTGAAATTAGATTTTGATCGCAAGTGGGAATTTAAGTTTCATCAGCTGACTTAGACATTGCTTAATGCATCAAAAGTAACCTTACACCATTCAAAAGCAAAACAAATAAACTGCAAGAACAAAATTCAGTTACAAAGCACAAAGAACAAATTATAATAGATTTTGCGCCTTGACCATCCACTTGATTTCTGTGGAAACAACCACTGTCTCCGTCCAAATAGAGGTGAAAACAATCAGAAAATCTTTTCTGTAAGATTCCTCACACTTATCAATAGTTGCCTCCTCCTGTTTAGTGAGGAGGTGCAGTGGTCTCATGGTTAGTGTGCTCATCCCCGGATAGAGCGGTCCGGGTTAGAGCCTTGGCTGGGGACATTGTGTTGTGTTCTTGGGTATGACACTTAACTCTCACAGTGCCTCTCTCCACCCAGGTGTACAAATGGGTACCAGTGAATTTAATGCTGGGGGTAACCCTGCGATGGACTAGCATCCCATCCAGGGGGGAGTAGAAATATTCCCAGTCACTTCATGCTACAGAAACCAGGATAAGCCCCGGCCTGATGGGCCAGTTGGCCCATATGCAAACTTTTTTCCCTCCTGTTTAGGATCACTTACTTCACCATTTCTTGTAATTGTTTTCCTGCATGCTGCATTCCTGTCAATGCTATGTACATTCTAAGGATTTCATTTGTGCCCTGTGAAATAAAAAAAAAATCCAGTTTTCCCTGAAATCAGCATCAAATGATATCACTCAGTTTGCTATATAAATATCATCTATAATCATAGGCCTGCAATGCATACAGAGAGCTAGATAATAAAGCAGTCTGCACGTTTTGCAGGCCTATGATGATATATAAAAATATTTTGTTTATAAAAAGGCTTGAGATCATGCTGTCGCACTTTCATCCTGAGGTGATATTAATTATTCAGGATGTTGAGAGAGGGTTTAGGCAAGATTTAGATTTTGCCATTTTCCAGCTTTTCAGCTGTTTGTCAAGTACATGGCTTGTTGAACTAAAACACTTCAGAAAAAAGCAGTGAACATTTTCACAAACATAAACTGATAAGGTCAAGTCAGCTAATCAGGTATCTCAGAGGTACACAGGTAAACAAAAAAATTGTTTATTTTTGATAATCACTAACTTCAAATATCATCAAGATTCTTGAATCTCTCATCACTCTTTCATATGGATAATCTTTCATGTATCCAAGTCCTGAAACAACACATGCATGTAAACCTTATGTTCATAAGTATTTAAGAGATCACCTTGTTCAGCGTAGCAAACAATACCACACAAAGGTACTGCTCAATAGCTTTTATTTGATTGGTCACACACTAGGGTTTTATCCACAGACTTAAAAGTTAGAACCACCTTGTACAGCATAATAAACAGCACCACATGAAAGTACTGCCAAATAGCTTTCATTTGAATGGTCACTCACTAGAGTTTTAGCCACAGGATTTATGATAAGAACTACAAACAACAAGTACCAATGAAAGTACAACTCATTAATTGTCATTTGAATTGCCACACTAAATAAAATAATAATAATAATAATAATAATAATAATAATAATATAATAATAATGCAAAGAGGTCTGTTGTGGATCATACCTCCTAATATCTGCAGTGCTTCATTGACTCCAACCCACAAACCTTCTGAGCCATACACCTACATGTATAACAGCAGAAAGTAAAACTTTTATGACATTAATTCAATCATCGTTATAACATGTATACCCTAATTTTAAGCCAATATTCCACAGTATAGGCTGCTTACTACACAAAATATGAAATATTTTCCTTTCTACAGAAACAAGATGTAAACTAAACATCTTATAGACATCATTTTCTACAGGTAAATTTGTATTGCAAACAGATTACATTAAGTATTTAATTTGTTTTTACAGATCCTCTGTAAATATTGTTTTTATTATTAGTAGTAGTAGTATTATTAACATGACCTTCATCAGTTTCTCCTATAAGTTAAAGGTCTGCATGCTTCATCATTGGGCCTTCATCACAATGCCTACATATATAGCGCGTATTGATTTGAATTCAGAAGGATATGTTGCTATAGCCTTTGGGCCAATAAAACTGGAATGTAATACCTGTATTTATGTCCCAGTGTTATTGGCCCAAAGACTATTAATAGCAACGTATCCCTCTGAATTCAACTCAGTGCGTACTCTGCACGCACTGCGTGCCTATAGTACCATAGGTAAGCAATGCGTGCAAAAAACTACAGCCACTAATAACTCTCCGCATTCTTACATTAAGTGTTTAATTATATAGCCCTTCAGCTTAGTCAATAAGAGTGTTATAACCTTACTATTCCATGTACCAGTAAGTGGGTGTACTTTCTATCTAAGGACTCATGTCAGTGACCTAATACAATGTAAATTTTATTACTGTTCTGCATCATTCTGAGTCTGTTACAAACCTTACACATTGCAGCTTCAACAGATGCATCCTCCTCACCACAGTCCAACAATCCAGTTGTTAAGTATGACATGGATTCAATTGTGTACTGCTTCAATGCCATGCGTGCAAATTTTTCCTGATTAAAACAATAAAGGCATGCAGATCAACAACATAAATGTTTTGTAGTGGTCTAGAATTGTACTGCTACCATGAAAAATATATTCTGCAATAATTCTTAGAAGCCCTGTCACACCCCAGATCCAGCTTTTCAATTAACTTGCTAATTGTCCTCATAGCACATTATCAAATGGTTTTAAATCAGAGCCACTTTGCTTTGGTATGTACAGTGTACATTATACATCTAATCATCTACTGTACATCTAAATCTGTTTCTTTCCAATGTGTTTCTTTTTTGGTTACATGGCTGTTAATCAACCCACTTTTAAAGACCTGTTAGGTCAGTACAAATTGTGAAATGTGAAAAAAATTCTCTGAAAATATCTGAAATGAAGTTAGGAAGTAATGATGAAAGTTTACAGAACACATTTAAGTGAATGTAAGGACCCCCACTTTGAAGGAATATGGACCCAGCCCTGGTATATAGCAAATGAATAAACAAAAGCATGTGATTGAATAATTCTGAAATTATGTATTTTCAATTAGTGTTTATTATAACAAGTCACTGGTTCAGAGGAAGTAAATAGACACTTTGTAAATTGACCAAATAATTCTTGAGAAGGATGGGACCTACTGTATCATTAGAAGTTGTGGGTAAACTAGAGAATTATTAATAATTATAAATCATAATTTTAGTACCTGGATCTGTCCAAATTCTGATAATGTCCTGTTGAACTGTTTTCTTGATGTGGCATGTTCTGCCGCAGCATCTGAAACAAAAGCACTTGGTAATGTGAGATTCTTAATAAGAAACAAACGAACAAACAAAACAACTAACCAGTGGATTTATGGATGATTGAAAATATAAGCCTTATGAGCTATTGAAAACCAAATAATGTTCCTGGCAAATTAGTTTGAATTTTTTTTTTCAGTAACAGTGTAGCTAAACTGTGCACATTACCTATCAACCTTCTAAGTCCTCCACCAGCTCCTGCTCCAATACCAAATCTACCACTGTTGAGAATGTTCATTGCAACCTTAAAAAAACAAAGACTTTAACTGAAAATATTGTCATTTTGTTGACTATCATAGGTCTGCAATGTGTCAAAAGGGCTATAGGAGCCAATATTGACTAGGATTGTAGGTTCTTCACGTATGCAAAAAGCTGTCAGGAGTATTTTGTATGAAATAAGCCATCCTGGCATATAATTATATGTAGCGTTCCTTTTATGCCTTTAATTAGCACGTACATCCCTGAAACTGTGTGGTTCCAGAAAATATCCATACCCACCCAAAGGAGGGTTATTAGGGGTGAGCACCTCAAAAGCCAAAATGTTTTAAGGGAAGTATGAACCCAAACTGGAATTCCCAGAGGGAGGAAGGTGGTGGGGTGGGGCTTCAAACTACAAAAGCCTCCATGGGAGAGGAGAGGTATGGATTTTTTTCTGGAACAACACATTACCCATTAATTGGTACATGTATTAATAGCCCATGAAACGCCATTCAGGAATTCAATCTAACTTGATCTTTAAGGTAATATTAAAGTAACTTAATTCTTTTGACAAAATTAATGTTTCATCTGGAGGACAAAATTTTTTGCACTCTTATGAATCTATTTTAAAGTACATCATCTTATACAGAAATGTAACATACGTTTACTGAACTTTCAAGAGCATACCTTGAAGCCTCCACCGACATCCCCAAGAACATTTTCAACAGGAATCGGAGTGTTATCAAAATGAAGTTCACAGGCTGAAAACAAAGAGCGTATCTTCAAATATGGTACTGTGTACATACATGTCTACCTCTCTGTATGTACATGTAATATGAACCTACATGGTTGCCAATGACTTCAGTTTAAAAAAAATTCCATGACTCCCTAATTTAAAATAAAATTTCTTTTCAGGACCAGATAAATAACATGACAGATGAGTGGTAGCAGCCTCCAGCCTAGAATTTTTTCCTGGCCATAAGTATAAATTTATTATCACTGTCTCTACCAGAGTGCTGAATATATTGCAAGCCCATGCAATGAAAGATCCCTTGAAGTCATAATCTGATAGCAATTCTGAAGTATTTTTGCAACAAATTTAGCATTATTACATGACTTGTTCTTAATTTTTTCTTACTGTTTGAGCCTCTGATTCCAAGCTTGTCCTCAGGTTTGCCACTCGTCACGCCACCAAATTCCCTTTCCACAATAAAGGCAGTTATCTTGTCCTGCTGTTCACCCTGTTTGGATAAAGATTAATGCATCATGTTAAATTGTTATGAGGAAAACCACACTCTGGAACAAAATACAGTAAAGTGAGTTAGGTCGTATTCTATAGACTATTGGGATCAACCATTTCAATTGCAACCACTTTGGGTTGAAACGGTTTAAGTTTCTCAATAGAACACTTTTCCAACTGTTTTCCATTGAAATGCGGTAACTCCTGGGAATAGTCCATGCGCGAGCTACAATCATGCAACATAATCACACAAATGCTTTTTGATTGATTTCAACCTGGTTTGAGGCTGGTTGAAAAAGCTGATCAACCAAACCAACCGAAAATGGTTTTTCCCCAAACATAGACCACAAAAAATCCCAACCAACCAGAAACAGTTGATCTCAATAGAACACGACCTTAGAGAATGATGCCTCAATCTTGCTCAGAGTGTACACCAAGAAAAAATTTTCTTATACTGCTATGTTACATGTACCTTGGCATCTGTGATATGAGTCCTGGCAAAGACAGTCATAACATCAGCCCATCCACCATTAGAGATCCAAATCTTAAAAGAGTAGAACAAAGCAAAATTAGATTTAACAAATTGTAGAAAGGAAACGGCAATGTCTCCTTGATATCACAAGCACCAGCTGTTTCTGCCTGTAATTAAAGGAGCTACGTCACATTTTGCACATCTTAAAAAGTTAAGCCTAAATTTTTCAAATTTGTTGTTTGTAATATGTATTAATCTTCTCCATCCTTAACAATCCTTGTTCCTTTTTAGTTTCATATTATAATCACTTTGCTGTTTTCTATCTTGAGTTAGCAGACCACTATTTTCAGGTTTCCCTCAATTTAATGGTAATTTTGCACGTGGCCAAAATAAATCAAAATACTGTCAACTGATTCTCATCTACCAATTACAAGCCTAGTCCCCATGGGATACCAGTACTACTTCTGCATTGCTGACATTGCAATCTGTCCCAGGTACTGACTGCTGACAAGCCCACAAATTTGAGCTGGCTAATTAACCGAGTCTCACACAATTCAACAAGAACCTTTGAGCCATTGAGAAGAAAGTGTTTTCCATCATCACTAAGCGTGGCTCTAGTTTGAATGGATGCAGCATCACTTCCGCTGAAATGAATAAAAAAACTCAGAATATAAATTCACTTGAACATTACTAGAAATTTCTTTAATCTAGTTGTGATGATCTGGATTTCACAAAGAGATTAAAACATCCTGGTATCATCTCACTTGACTTGGAAGTTAACAGGGTTTTCAACTGAGTGTAATAAATCCAAAACTACATGTATAGCTGCAATGACCGGTCACAGCAAATCTACTTTGTATGACTTAATTAATTAATTTGCTGATGTTTTGGTCAAATCAGAAGATGCTAGTTAGCCCTAAGAACTACCATCCAGCTATACTCCAGCTAGGTCAGTTTTGTCAACAATCATATTATAATTCACATTTTATTAAATAATCAAACCTTGAGGGTTCTGTGAGACAAAATGCAGCTATATGTTCACCAGAAGCCAGTCTTGGCAAGTATTTCTGTTTCTGTGCTTCCGTTCCACAAAGAAGAATGCCCTGGTGTGAAGAAAACAAAATAACTGAAAATAGCAGCGTGTGCTTCGTAGTTGCGTCCTGTTCAATAAGAAGATTCCAGCAAGAGAGGCATATGAAATTTGAATCAAGAAAAACATACTGACTAAAGAACGATGTAATACCTTGTTAATGAAAGAAATCTGAGTGTATATATGCAGTTTATTTGTATAATTATTTGACTGATCATTGTTATTGATAAAAGGATCTGTTTATATCACCACAAAGCCGATAATTTTAGGACACTTTTAATAAACAACTGTCACATAGTGATAATCAATAACAGGACCTAACACACATGGAGATGCAAAAATGAAAAGATAACAATAAGCCTATTATGTCATACGAACTCAACCGATGATACATGTAACAGTCCATTGTACAGCATATATTATCATATCTTAACAGTTATGAAGACAATGCTAACTCATTTGCCATTTTTTAACATCCCTTTGTAATAAATCATTCATAATAATTTACGTCCACAAAAATACATAACATTACATTTGTAGATCAGTGTTAGGTGTTACATAGTTACCTTGAGGCCAATGGACTGATGTGCCATAAGGGTAACAGCTATGCTAGCATCAGAGAAGGCTTCAGTAACTCGAGCATAGTTTGTGTTAAGAAGACCAAGGCCACCTAAAAGTGTGTGGTAAAAAGAAATTAAGTCTGCATTTATTGAATTACAGTGTTTCCTCAGCTCCCAACGGAGGTCCTTGGTTTCTATCACTTGAACTGTGAATGCAAAGAAAACCGGCCCAATTGTAGAGCTTAGCCTCAGGGCAAGCTGAAGCAAACAATGTACCAGCCCAAAAATCAACCTCAACAGTCCACAAAAATATCTTTAGTTACTGGTATGATAGACTAAAATCAAACTGGCACTAAAATTAATTTCAACTCTTGCAGCACCTCAGTCTGTACTTTGAATTTCTTCAAACATTCTCTTAAGAAAAACTTCACCTGCCTACCACACAAGTAAAGGATAGAATCTGGACTCCAAGAGATCTGGCCTGCATTGTTGGAAAGATGGGTAATACTATCAAAGGGATAAATAATTAATCGCTATGCAGTGGATAACACGATCTGTTAACAATTATCCACTGGATAGCGATTTATCCTGTGGCTATGGTGTTATTCACCTTGCGAACAACTGGGGCCTGGGCTATTGCACATAACTTTCTTGGCATTGCCTACTAGCTTGGTGTATTGTTCTTCCAGTTCTGACACCACCCTCCCCCCTTCCCCCCTCCTCACTCAGTCAATACATTCCAATACAAACTGAGGCAAAACGTTTCTGAACCATTAGCTTACAACAAGAAAAACACTTTAAATCATAGGCTGGTCTATAGTCTCACCATACTTCTCAGGGATCAGAAGTCCAAACAATCCAAGATCCCTTAGTCCTCCCATAACATCTTCGGGAATTTTGGCTTTCTTGTCAATGTCGGCAGAATCCACTGTGGTTTAAATATGTACACGATGCACAGTGTTGGTATACAGACATCAAAATAAACAAGTAATTGTTTAAACCACACCTACCAGGATACTTCTGGACCAAATGATTACCTTTTTCTTGAAAATATTTCTCAACAGGTTCAACGAGCATTGTAAGGGTTTCCCGTTGTTCTTCATTGAGTGGGTCCGGAAATGGGAAAACTTTCGCCTAATAAAAAATTGACAGATAAGCTACAAGCAATAAAATGTTAGTCGTCCAGTTAAAATGGTTTCAAAACAGCTGAGCCAAATTAGAATGAGACAATACTGTAATAAGGGGAAGAATATTGTACAACAGAAGTAAGATCTCTTCTTGACTATTACTGGTACATGGTCATCAAACAGGCTGAGAGTACATGAGATTAAAGAACTGAATAATATCTCCTGTCTCCATCAATCTACCAGTTTGGCCATCCTTTCTTTTCTTCCTTTGTTTGTTATCATTTATCCAGTCAGTCAGTCAATCATTCACCCAGTCAGTCAGTCAAACAGTCAATTAGTCAGTCAATCAGTCAGTCTGTTAGTCAGTCAGTCAGTCAGTCAGTCAGTCAGTCAGTCAAAAATTCAGTCATTCTGTCAGTCATTCATCCATTCCGTCAATCATTCACCCGATCAGTCAGACAGTCAGTCAGTCGGTCAGTCATTCATTCACTCAGTCGCCCACTCACTTCTCCCTTCATTCATTTCAGTTATGAAAGTTATAAAATCATTCACCCAACCATTCACCCACGTTCACGTGGACTTGACAAAATGAAGATTACATAACGAAAACTCGCATTCGTGTGTGTCTTTAATTTAGCTACGAAGGTGAACATCTCTTTTCCTGATCTTATTTACCATTAGTGACGATGCAAGTTTTACTCTACAATTAATGTCAAGGCTTTAAAATCCGATTAAAAAAACATACTGAGCTTAAATCTCGAAATCAAGTCTTACCTTGTTACAACGTCCGAGAAAAAGATCTTTGGCAAAAGTTGAAGTTGGCTTTGAGGTATGAAGAAAACAACGAAGCAATGGCGTGTTTACAAGTTTACAGGCGCCTAAAACTTGCCTACCAACTTTTAACGACAGCATGATAGCTGGATTTTGCGTCGTTTTCGGTCTTAAGATTCAAAATTATTTCATCGCAGAGTAAATATAAATACTTGTCACATTGATCGACCTTAATTAAGTCCTTTACCCCAGTCCTTTACTTCCTGCGCGGTTATTCTAGCTTCCAAATTTGGTAGTCACATTGAATGACCTTAATGAAAACTTTGGACCCACCTCCAGTCTTTCCCCTTTTTGCGCGGTCGCGCAGAACGTTGGGATTTTGCAAAAATATAACAAAAACACTGCCTGAAAAAACTGTAAAGATCAAAGTTTTCCTAGCAAATTCAAAGCAGTAATAAGTCTAAAAGCTATACTCAAGGTCATGATGCAATATGAAAGTATTCCAAATTGAAAAAACTATAAAGAAAAAGAATTGACTTGACTCAAGTTGTAAAGCCCATATGAAAGCGTACCGACCCGGTGAAAGAACGTTTGTTCTATGGGAAGAAGTGCTTCATAAATACTGATACGGTTGCAAATACCAATGTATCTTCTTTACGTCCCAGAAGTAGGAAACTTGCAACAATGACCAACTGAGTTCGGAGAGGGTCGGAGAGGTTGAGAGAAACTGATCAAACTTGAAAGGACTCAGAGTACTCCAGAATTATTTACAGCACTGAAGGCAAACTGGCCCGTGTCAGTGAACTAAATTTGAAGTGCTGATAAGATCGGAACATCCAGAACAAACAACTCGCGAACAAACGAAATTTCAATTCAAGGGCGCTTTATTTGCGCACATTTTCCTACCTACGTATAAATTCTATTCGTGACAAACGAGGGTCCTAATCAATCAATCAATCAATCAATCAATCAATCAATCAATCAATCAATCAATCAATCAAATTATCAATCAATCAATCAATCAACACTTTATTTAAACACATTGCACCAAAGAAATAGCTACAGCACAGTATATATTTCACTACCAACATAAAGAGCCACCAAGTAAATCGGATTGAATCCTTCACTAAGTCAAAGATACACAGAAATATAAACATAGTAAAACGATGTGACAAAGGAAACTCTCGGTCACTTTTCGGTCAATTTTTTGCCACAAAGAAAGGATATTGAAAAAAAGAATGAAATCATCGTTTAATAATCTGAAGATAAAATTCTCTCTCTTTTTCTCTTCCATCCGGAGTGCAGATTTATTCAACTGTCAATTAGCCATCAAAACTGTATCTAGCGCGTATCTGATCTGACTGCTCTTAGCATTTCTTCTAATTTCCGTCTGGATTAGTAGGCGTTGGATAATGCGGAGGACACTTGGTGCAGGTGATCAGGTAGACCTGTTCACCCTTCACCGTGTAGTGACAACGGTTGACAGTCGATAAATCGCATCGCGGCTTTGGACGTTCAGGACACTTCCAAGGAGCGAAACTCTTTGCCTGCTCATCATTTTGAGGGTCTTTCATCCAAGCGATGACTTGAGAAGGTGTCAAAATCCAAACATCCCCCAGATCCTCGGCGTATTTAAGAAATTTCTTTGCGGCCACCATGTGATCATTACCAAGGGCTGATAAGAAAAAGGTCACGTGCATATGCATCCCAAAGGGAGAACGGTTCGTGTCGTAGTGATAATGGAAGTTGTTGACCAGTCTGTCGTACCAGGCTGTTGCGTTCCCCGCTCGATCACACCCATCCATCATCGAAGCGCATGTTGTGTTATCTTTGTTCATGATGTTGATGTTAGGAATCTCCCAGAGCCCTGGGTAGGACATCTTTGGGCACGGTTGTTTTTGGGTAGGACAGGGCTCGGTCGACTGGTAGTCCAGGGTATAGGGGTACATTGGGTCACGCCCATCAAAGTTAGCATTAACAGGCCAGGAGAGGTCATAAGTGAAGTTACTCGTATACAAAACCTTAAACATGTTCTCAGTGAACATAAGGTCTGGTGCTCGAAATCCAGTAATTTCCTCATAGGGTATGTTTGCAAATCTATAAAACAATTTGTATATCAAAAACCCGATTAGTGTAGAGCTAACGTAAATATCTTCTTCGTCATAACTAGAAAAAATCAACCCTGTTTTTGAGATTTTATATTTTAATACTCCCCAAGTTCGATTCCCCTCCACGTTTTAATTTTAGCTTCAGTGGAAGCAAGGACCTTTTGACCCTTTTTCCTACAAAAAAATCACAGAGTTGATAAACCCTGAAAAAGGGTTTCCAGAGGCAAAAATACACATAACTCCTTTCACAATTGTTATTAGTATCGAGCATACGGCTAGGTATGTTTTTGCTGGTTTTTGGCTGGTTTTGCCGTTTAGATAAAGGAATAATTTTACTGAATTGTATTTGCAAATTTCCAACCCCCTCAAAATTATCCTTTTCAAGATTTCAGCTTCAGGTTTATTCTTAAAATATTCTTTAAATATTCTTAAAATTTCACAAATTTCAGCCTCGACATTCTTATGAAATATATCCTCAAAGAAGAAAAAGTGTACCGGGAGAAAAATCTAAAACACCCCCGTCCGAAGTAAAATCACGACACGTGGAAAGTATTACGTTATTTCCGAGAAAACCACTGTTGCGTGAGACGGAAGCCAATTTTAAACTAGTTAATTATTCTATAAACGGGGAGGAGAAAAAACTTACCGATGCAAAATCTCTTTTTGCCCATCGATGTCGTTCTTCCACACAGTGTAATTAGCTTTTTCATAGTAAGTGGCTCCCTGGTGGGTAACGGTATGATCCGCTATCTCGAACCCTTTGGAATACGCAGTTTCCACCCAGAAGTAGTTTGTGCCTACGTTGCAATTAAACAGGGTTGCCACGGCAGGGCAGCCGTTAGGATTTCGCACTTCGTCTAACAGCTCGATGTACAAGTCGTAGAATCGCTCCTCAATACCGTCGTCGAAAGTGACCATGATAATCTGTGGAGTTTCCTTAGGCGTCAGACCACCCGGAGGTTTGCGATCCTCGCTGCATCGGCAATTTGGAGGAAGACACTTCTGAGGATCGCAAGGTTGAGCGGGTTTGAATTGAGCACGAGCTTCAACTACGGCTAGGAGGAACACCAAAGCGAAAAACTGAAGATCCATTGCTGGTGGGTTGTCGTGTTCTGACACGATCTACATAAGTTTATATAGTTTATATTTCCCCTGCAGTTTTCCAAGAAAGCTACATTTCCGGTTGAGACTGGCGAATCAAACACTGTTTTCTTTTCTAAGTCATACTAAGTGATCACGTGAAAGGTCAGTTGTATAACGTTACTGATCTGATCCTGTTCTGGCACAACATGAAATGGCACGCGGCCAAATTACCCTTCAATCGCTCTTTATTATATATCGATCAAATAGAAACATGAACACCCCACGGCGATAAATTTCAACCAGTTGATTCATAGTGCCTCCCTCCATCGACCATCGCAGCCATGGATATAAATGGATACCGACTAGTTTCTTCTTTCTTTTTTCTTTTTTCAATCGTTCTGACTTATTAAGAGGCAGTAGACTAATGGTCAACTGCAAGAGAACAGTAACCTGTTGGAGTGCATTACATGATGGAAAGAGACGTTACACGAGATAACGAAAACGGCGTTTTGAGTGTTCCCATCTCCTTTCCAACTGGTGTACCCCGACCTGTAAACAGACTGCCTTTTGGATATTGCTCCAGACAAAGTATTTCTCAGCAGTGCAAAAATAACAGGCAGGAATTCATCCGTGTCCATAAGCCTGTTTATCCTTGCCTTTGATGACCTTGATCAGTTGTGCAAAATATGGCTGAGAAAATTTATCATTGCCCGAATGACTAGCTCTCAATGTCTGGAGATAGTACTGCTAAGGGATAAGGGGTAAACAGGAAGACTCTTCTATGTAACCTTCCTCACTCTCGTCACCGAGGCCACAATCCTTTTGGTCAGCACCAACATTAGAATCACCACCCAACTAGACCCGATTTTGGGGGAGGGGGGGGTCACACTGTGTCCAAGTGAGGGTACTCACCAGATTGTCATGTTGTTTCTGCCACCTGTTGTAGGTTGTTTGCTTGACAAAGGCCTACAAAAGGGAGAGTGATGGGCACCTCAGGACCCCCCTTGCTATGCCACTGGATCTGAAGGGAAGTTCAGGAGTTGTGCATTTCCAGTGTTGGACCCACCCAGAGGTTGCAATACTTGGTACTGACCAGGGCTGTCAATAAGGGCTGGAAACCATAACACCTGCTCTGGCTGAGTATGTTTGATAGGCCATTGATGTTACAGGTGCACTTGCCTATAGTTGATACAGTTCACGTAACAAGTTTGTTCAGGTGTAAAGATCAAGGCTACAGTTGACTTGAAATTTAACGACAATCCTGCTGACCAAAAGGATTGAAACCTCTGGGGCTGAGAATGAACCTATTCCTGTCATAGAGCCATCTGAACTCCAAGATGAAATTCCCTTACAACAATGTAACCAAAAAACTACAACTTAGGGTCTCTGTGATTGTGTATGGCCAAGACCTATCAATAGACGGATTCCGCTAACATTTTAAATCCTTGATGACACCCAATTCAGACCATGTGATGATTCATTTGGGAGGTTACAATAATTCATTGTTCTGTTTCTACAAACTCCTATGCAATTAGTTGCATGTGACAAATTGCACAATTGCAACCTCCCGAATGAATCATTACATGATCTGAATTGGGTGGCAAAAACGATGTAAACATGTTAGCCAAGCAGTCTACGAAATAACCAGACAGAGAAACATGTGAAATCCCTGAAGTCTACAACCTCGTTCCCACAGTCCTCTCCTACTCGGCTTCCGTGGCGAGAGAAACATGGCCCCTGTCTCTCTCGCCACCGGGGCCGAGTAGGAGATGACCCTGGGAACAAGGTTGCGAAGTCTAGTGTTATCTACTAAATTAATATGGAGTGATGGGGGCCTTGAACATCTGATGGGCTGATGAAGGGCATAAAAATGAATTATGTGACAAGAAAAATCAAAACAAATAAAGTATGGTGTTATGAGATCAATTTTATTTTATGCTTCCCAGTGTCATTTTTCATCACTTTTAAAAGTGCGTATTAGGACGCTTGGCCACAAACTTGGACTTGTAATGGGACTTGATGATACGATGCGGCAGGGGAAACCTGATCTTTGAATTCTGCACACAAAAACAATGGAACAAAAAGTAATTTACTAATGTATTTAACATGGGTTACATAAACCTTGTCTCTGGGGTGTTATTTGGTATGTTACTATGATAATTACAAGCGAGATTTGAGATACACTGTAGCCCATACTAAATTACAGTTAGATCCTCACCATAGTGGGTTAATACTACAGTTAAAACAATATTTTCTTCCCAAATAATTTTTCTCTGGAAACCAGTGTTTAAGAGAATGATTTGACCACTGCACAGAGGGTGAAAAATTAAGAATTTCAATATGTTTCATATCTACAGTTACTAGATGCAATACATGTCATTTAGTTAACAAACTAATGGAAACTTACGTGCAGCTGCTTCACGTGTGGTCGCCTGCACTTGCTGGCTGGAATCACATCAACCTTCATGATCTGAATGCTTGACCCTCGAGCTCGGTGACGAGCAGCCATATCCCGATCTGTGCATTAAAAAATAATCAGTACCTACTATTAAATTACTAAATTAAAAACTTGCATCTCTAAATGACCTGAACAACCAGATGTACCAAGTGACAACCCCATATAGCCAGCTAGTCTGGTTGAGGAACAGGCTTTTAGACAGATGGGTGTCCTGGCATCCATAGGAATGGCATCCACAGGAAAATTGTTTTATTTGTCACATGTTGCTTTATAAATTGTTCATTTGAGTAGACCTTATAGCACAATTTGGACGTCCACTTTACAAATCCTGGCTAAAAGCCTGTTGAGAGGCATTACTAATACAGAGTAAACTGTATGTTAGTTAACATGTCTTGCAGAAACACTTCTAACAAACTCTGAGCAGCTAGAATTAGAGAGGAAGGGTTGCAATGCCATGCAATGGGCCATGCATGCAGCTGGAACTTATCCAGAATTATCTAAGGTTATCAATACTTCCCCGCCACTTTGATGAAAATAATTAATACTTCTCCATTGTGGGTATCCCACACCATGTTTGTTGGTTCCCCTGACAGTTTATGGGTATCAAATTTTTACACCCAGGCCAGTTTGTTCAAAGCATAACAAAGCTAATCAGGATTAGCAAGAACTTTTATTTCAGTTCTTTTTTTTAACTTTGAAAATTTAAAATTAAAACCTTTCTGCAAGAAGACAACACAACAAACCCAGCAAGGATTAAGCAAGGAGCTATTGATTCTGATATGCTGACTGCAACACAGTGAAATGTTAGGTCAGTATGTCTCTCAGTCCAAACTGCAGGGAAATTATATTTACATGTAATACAGGGCTGTCACTAAGGGCCATAACCTGTAACACCTGTTTCAGCTGAGAATGCTTGATGGGCATTTCATATTACAAGTGAACTTGCTTGGGTTTGGTATAATTTACCCACAAAGTAACAAACTTACAACAGGACGTGACAGCACTAGCCACAGTCAAGTCACGGTACTCCCTGTACATGTTGTGAGTTCCACTGCGAGAGTCATAACGCAGCCAAACACCAAAGTTCTTGATCCTCAGAGGTTTCTTCTCAAAAACCTGTTTAGAATAAGTGTATTGATTGAGATCTAAACATGTATATAAAAGCATCAAGTTACCACTGACAGTTACAAAATTGGCTAGCAGATTTTTTCAGGACCAAAATCAAAAAGTTGCAACTACATATTTTTGATAGATGAGAATATATTTTTACATCAGAGAAACATTGCAAAGACATTTACAAACTCTCAATACTCCTTGTTCCCAAAACAAGAATCAGTCCCATGAAATGCCATAACCTGCTTCCGTGGTAGAAAATAATAATTGCTCTCAATTACAAGGAATGCATCAAACCGAATTTTTAGTTTGTTCAAGCATTCATGTCATACACATCTTGGTCAAACACAATGTCCAGCACTATTATCATTTCATAACATATTCAAGTTTTGTTATGAAGGGAGGGTTATATCTAGGTTTACATTTTTATAGTGTCCTCATTTAGAGGGAAACTGCTGTTTTAAGTGGCATTGAAATCAAGCTTGTACTTATTTTATCATCACTATCATCTAATTTAATCAGATATGTAAGAACACAGACCCCATATAGAATACCTGAGGTGTGATATAAGTGAATAGTACTTATTGCCAAATACAATAATCACTGAATGACGCTGCAATGGCATCAGTTTACTAAACACCACACAAACCTGTTTGCAGGAAACAACTTCTCCATGCGACTTCTTGATTTTCTTCAACTTGGCAACAAAATACCAGTATTTTGATTTGGCTACAACCTCATCAGGCCCAAAAATCCTCATTTTGTAGAGGGGAGGGGACGGATTCTTTTCAGATGGCAGAGCCCTGCCAATGATTTCATATTCTTTCAGCTGAAAAATATGAAAAGTTGACAGAAAACTTAAAAAACAACAACAAGAAACACAGCTACATCTATTCTGTTCAAAATCTTTTTTTCAAAATTGCATCTACTATGGCAGACAAAATTAGAGGTTTTCACAACTTGCGGTATCCAAAAAAGAGAAAATTTTTCCATACATTAGGGGCCACTTATTAGAATCACTTTTCCCCTAAATTGACAAGTCTGTCTCTTTGCAAAACTGTTCTGCTACACAGGTCACCTTTTCAAAACTAGCAACACCAGTGCCACCATCAAGATTTTAAGTACATGNCTCTCGCCACCGGGGCCGAGTAGGAGATGACCCTGGGAACAAGGTTGCGAAGTCTAGTGTTATCTACTAAATTAATATGGAGTGATGGGGGCCTTGAACATCTGATGGGCTGATGAAGGGCATAAAAATGAATTATGTGACAAGAAAAATCAAAACAAATAAAGTATGGTGTTATGAGATCAATTTTATTTTATGCTTCCCAGTGTCATTTTTCATCACTTTTAAAAGTGCGTATTAGGACGCTTGGCCACAAACTTGGACTTGTAATGGGACTTGATGATACGATGCGGCAGGGGAAACCTGATCTTTGAATTCTGCACACAAAAACAATGGAACAAAAAGTAATTTACTAATGTATTTAACATGGGTTACATAAACCTTGTCTCTGGGGTGTTATTTGGTATGTTACTATGATAATTACAAGCGAGATTTGAGATACACTGTAGCCCATACTAAATTACAGTTAGATCCTCACCATAGTGGGTTAATACTACAGTTAAAACAATATTTTCTTCCCAAATAATTTTTCTCTGGAAACCAGTGTTTAAGAGAATGATTTGACCACTGCACAGAGGGTGAAAAATTAAGAATTTCAATATGTTTCATATCTACAGTTACTAGATGCAATACATGTCATTTAGTTAACAAACTAATGGAAACTTACGTGCAGCTGCTTCACGTGTGGTCGCCTGCACTTGCTGGCTGGAATCACATCAACCTTCATGATCTGAATGCTTGACCCTCGAGCTCGGTGACGAGCAGCCATATCCCGATCTGTGCATTAAAAAATAATCAGTACCTACTATTAAATTACTAAATTAAAAACTTGCATCTCTAAATGACCTGAACAACCAGATGTACCAAGTGACAACCCCATATAGCCAGCTAGTCTGGTTGAGGAACAGGCTTTTAGACAGATGGGTGTCCTGGCATCCATAGGAATGGCATCCACAGGAAAATTGTTTTATTTGTCACATGTTGCTTTATAAATTGTTCATTTGAGTAGACCTTATAGCACAATTTGGACGTCCACTTTACAAATCCTGGCTAAAAGCCTGTTGAGAGGCATTACTAATACAGAGTAAACTGTATGTTAGTTAACATGTCTTGCAGAAACACTTCTAACAAACTCTGAGCAGCTAGAATTAGAGAGGAAGGGTTGCAATGCCATGCAATGGGCCATGCATGCAGCTGGAACTTATCCAGAATTATCTAAGGTTATCAATACTTCCCCGCCACTTTGATGAAAATAATTAATACTTCTCCATTGTGGGTATCCCACACCATGTTTGTTGGTTCCCCTGACAGTTTATGGGTATCAAATTTTTACACCCAGGCCAGTTTGTTCAAAGCATAACAAAGCTAATCAGGATTAGCAAGAACTTTTATTTCAGTTCTTTTTTTTAACTTTGAAAATTTAAAATTAAAACCTTTCTGCAAGAAGACAACACAACAAACCCAGCAAGGATTAAGCAAGGAGCTATTGATTCTGATATGCTGACTGCAACACAGTGAAATGTTAGGTCAGTATGTCTCTCAGTCCAAACTGCAGGGAAATTATATTTACATGTAATACAGGGCTGTCACTAAGGGCCATAACCTGTAACACCTGTTTCAGCTGAGAATGCTTGATGGGCATTTCATATTACAAGTGAACTTGCTTGGGTTTGGTATAATTTACCCACAAAGTAACAAACTTACAACAGGACGTGACAGCACTAGCCACAGTCAAGTCACGGTACTCCCTGTACATGTTGTGAGTTCCACTGCGAGAGTCATAACGCAGCCAAACACCAAAGTTCTTGATCCTCAGAGGTTTCTTCTCAAAAACCTGTTTAGAATAAGTGTATTGATTGAGATCTAAACATGTATATAAAAGCATCAAGTTACCACTGACAGTTACAAAATTGGCTAGCAGATTTTTTCAGGACCAAAATCAAAAAGTTGCAACTACATATTTTTGATAGATGAGAATATATTTTTACATCAGAGAAACATTGCAAAGACATTTACAAACTCTCAATACTCCTTGTTCCCAAAACAAGAATCAGTCCCATGAAATGCCATAACCTGCTTCCGTGGTAGAAAATAATAATTGCTCTCAATTACAAGGAATGCATCAAACCGAATTTTTAGTTTGTTCAAGCATTCATGTCATACACATCTTGGTCAAACACAATGTCCAGCACTATTATCATTTCATAACATATTCAAGTTTTGTTATGAAGGGAGGGTTATATCTAGGTTTACATTTTTATAGTGTCCTCATTTAGAGGGAAACTGCTGTTTTAAGTGGCATTGAAATCAAGCTTGTACTTATTTTATCATCACTATCATCTAATTTAATCAGATATGTAAGAACACAGACCCCATATAGAATACCTGAGGTGTGATATAAGTGAATAGTACTTATTGCCAAATACAATAATCACTGAATGACGCTGCAATGGCATCAGTTTACTAAACACCACACAAACCTGTTTGCAGGAAACAACTTCTCCATGCGACTTCTTGATTTTCTTCAACTTGGCAACAAAATACCAGTATTTTGATTTGGCTACAACCTCATCAGGCCCAAAAATCCTCATTTTGTAGAGGGGAGGGGACGGATTCTTTTCAGATGGCAGAGCCCTGCCAATGATTTCATATTCTTTCAGCTGAAAAATATGAAAAGTTGACAGAAAACTTAAAAAACAACAACAAGAAACACAGCTACATCTATTCTGTTCAAAATCTTTTTTTCAAAATTGCATCTACTATGGCAGACAAAATTAGAGGTTTTCACAACTTGCGGTATCCAAAAAAGAGAAAATTTTTCCATACATTAGGGGCCACTTATTAGAATCACTTTTCCCCTAAATTGACAAGTCTGTCTCTTTGCAAAACTGTTCTGCTACACAGGTCACCTTTTCAAAACTAGCAACACCAGTGCCACCATCAAGATTTTAAGTACATGCTTGAATCAATCAGTCAATCAACAACTTTATTAATCTGCCTAGATAAAAATAGCCGAGAGTGAAACTCTCTACTAATTGGGGACACCTAAAAGTAAAAATTAAGGAACTAGTTACACTAATTTAAATATTAATTAAATTAGAATATTTCAGTAGTAAGTAGTAGTCTTTGTAGCATGAAACAACAAAGAGTATTTTTACTCAGGGCTTGACTTTCCAGAAAAAACCTTGGGGCCAGAAGGCCCCCAGTTTTCAGATTTAGTCGCTAGCACAAGTGTTTCAGCGAAAAAAGTGAAAAGTTAGTCACCAGCGCAAAAAATTTGGTTGCATTGACAACCCCAGATATCACAACATCGAGCTCTGATATAGTGGTTGACCCCAGTATTTCATCCTGTTAGCCTAATAATCTACTCTCACCCATAGGTAAACCTTGTCCCAGTTGTTCAAGGGATTGATATATTAAATGTTGGAGGAGTTATGTAAATTCCGGACACAATGCTGACATGTAAGTGATCATAACAAACCATGCCCCTTTAGAAATGATAGTAGAGATAATTTTTAGGCTCATAATATGTGAAATTGGTAAAAGAAACCACTGTATCTTCTTCTAAGAGACATTTAAGAATGTCAGGCCAAATTTACGAGTAAGCCTCTGTCGAACATATTTTATGGTTTTGCAAAAACTTTAATACTAATACTATTTGTTTGTTATGAATTTTACGTTTCGAGTAAGGGTTTGACCAAGAACTATTTGTGAGGTTCTTGTGAATGAGAAATGCAAGAGTATAAATAAATCAAGTACAAGAAAGTAAGCTTGTTTAGGATGGAAATCCCAATAAACAGACAAGATCTTTCCCTCAGAAAGTACAACTATCTTACAACCCAAAAACCTCATTTTTCAAAGTAAAACGGCAATATTACAATGGCACTAAGTTGTCTACGGTTTACTCTTGGAATAAAATAAGGATTTTATTCGCTACAGAATATATTAAGCCGGTTAAATGTAATCGTTGTTACCTCTCCGCAAACTTTCATTTTGAACACGAGGGAAGAAGAGAAAGAACGAGGCGCTGCTGGGGGTAATATGGCGTCGCGCAAGGCCTGCTGGGTTTCTCGGTACCAACCTTCTCTCGTTTTTCCACGACCAGCTGTCTGTCAGTTTGCTGGCAGCCAGTTCTCTCGAAATCAGGCAGGAATTATGAGAAGACACCGTCTGCCAGTAGTCTAACGTAATGTAGGAGAGAATTTAAACGCTGCAAATGGGAGCGGACAAGCATAATCTCAAGGATCACTTCTCACTCTATTAGCTGAGACAGCTCAACTATTATGGTTCCTGTCAACAGTTAATTCTCTCCAACTTAGACAACTTCAAAAGCGGCCTAACTGTCCGCTTTAAAAATACGTTCACTTTACAGAGAGTTCAGTTACAGAGAAATAAGTGAAACTCCGGGGAGCTTTCCATGTTATCGTTTCGTTTGCTTTGAGAGTTGACCGGTACATGTACTTTGGACTACCTTGGAAAACTCCGTTTGAACTCCCATAGAAAGTCTAGAAACTCTGTACACATTCCTGTAACCGGCTATTTAAGCGAACGTATATATTTCCGACGGGAACGGCTTAAGTTTTTCTTAATCGGTTTTCTAAGCTCCTCTAAGCGAATGCAGCAAAGGAAAGATACCATGGACTCAGTTCTTAAACAACAGGAAAGCAAACTAAGGCAGCCTAAAGCTACGGCGCATAGCTATGTGGCAACGTACGGGAACTCCTATATAAAAAGGACCGGGGTGTTCGTCGTCGAAAAAATATGACAGGAGATAGAATACCAATTAGAATTGGTACCTCTTAAGGGCGGAAAAAAGTTCCAATCCACGTCCATAAACCAGTCAAAAGAGGATTCTTTTCAAAATTCCCGACGAGTATACCCGTCCTTTTTGATGTTACGATATTTGATTTACCTTACATGAATCGTATTAGACCATGCAAGCAGCACGCAAGCCCGGATGTACGCGCGGTCTCCTTTCACTGATTTCGCTGTCGGCGTTTGACGCTTCCTTGGCGGTATACAATGTTACAGAAGTTTTAGCCGGGTGCCCAATTTTTACACTAAAGGAACGAAATATAGAGAAAAACCCTTGAACCACAACAATGTTGCTGTTCTTGTTTTGCCTTGAGCTAAATAGAACAGTCATAAAGATTTGACCAGCAATGTTTCAAATAATTTATATTTTATTTAGTCAAGTTTTTATCTGCTTAATACATAATGTTTCTACGTAAAATTTTTTCACGCTATAACTACTCTATTAGATTTCGATTTTCAGTTTCTATTGCTTGGTTTTCTGCCTTGTACCTGCTCTACCTCTCTTGGAAAAATTCCCGCTTGGGGTGCGGAAGACTTAAAACAAAAAAAGAAAATTAAACAAAAAATTAAAAAAAAACAGAATGTGGTCCTTTCAGCTCCCGTCAGGGAGTCTTGGAGAATTGGAATGGAATAGAAAGATTGCATCTTAGATATCTGTTTCCGTCGTCAAATCACTTAATTATATTAAGTCTGTTTGGGCTAACCAGGAGTAGCCAGAGAAAACACATTTCACGATCAATCTCTCACTCACTGTTCAGTTCTTATTGATCATTTAAATGAATTTTCTTTCTTGATAACTCCTAACTCTTACACCGTCTTAAACTCTTAGCTATTTTTAAAATATTGTCCGTTCATCCAAGTGTTAAACTCTATTTGAACGTCATAAAAACTATTATCTAAGTTATGCCTCTTTTTTTCCAATGCACTTAAGACCCGGACACACGCCGCAACATTGCTGGCAACAGTTTCAGTCAACGTGTCCAGGGGATTCAACAGTTTGCGCGGCATTAAAGAAGGGACAAGCGAATTCTGCTGCATCCAAAGAGGTTATGGAATAAGTCAAAGCTATTCGGTAAATTTTGCCCTCCTATGAAGTCAAGCGGGGAAACATCTTCGGTTTTGGCTTAGAGTTTTAACAGAATGCAAGAGTAGCTGATAGTTAATTAAGCCACGTCATTCCGCATAGTCTTGCGGATGGTGGACGCGCATTAAAATTTGGCCTTCGCTATGTTATGGGCCTTTTCGTTTTTCATCAGAACTTAAGAAAAGTTCGCCGTATCATCTACTAGGCAAGCTTAATTTATGTCGCCTTAACATGGTGCGCTTTCCTAAACCGATGAGATTAACGCGTTTAGTGATTGGCTTAGAAAAATCGCGGGAAAATTTGTTAACCAATCAGAGTCATTAGAGAGAAGGCATTGCC